AATTCTTTACCCAGAGCCCTACCCCACTGACCTGTGAATTTCGGGATTAAATCTGTTACACATGTGAACTTTTAAGGCACACACTTTCTACGGTTTGGATAGGGACGGCATGAAATGGCTTGGTTCCCAGAGTGATGGACCATGAGAGAACTTTTAGGCAGTGGGTCAGTGGGTGTCTATTCTCATAGGGTATTACAGAAACTCACTCTCTCCTTGCTCTTTTGCTACCTGACTCATGAGGCAAAGGTACCTCCATCATGATATTCCACCCTCCTCAGACTTCCAAAGCCTGAGGCTTCTCAATCTTACACTCATAGCTCCAAAGCTATGAGCCAAAATAAACCTTTTGTCTTTATTAGTTAGGTGACTCAGGTATTTCATTATTATAATGGAAGGCTGACTAATAAATTTAAACCATAACACTGGACAATGAATATAAAATCCTCAGCTTTGCACTCAGGGTCAAGATCACATTGGGAATCCAGGTTCCATCCATGATGACTTTTTTTTTTTTTTTTTGGAGGGGGGAGTCCCATGATTCATTTACAAATGATTGCCATTTGGATCCTCTTTGCCCATTACTCCAAAGATCTCCAGTGGATCCATCAAATCCTAATTTCTCCCCACATAATTTCTCTCCTTTTCTCCTGAGAGTGCTAGATTTGGTGAAGACCTCTGTGAGTCACTATTTTACCCACAGCCTCTTCCCCCCCCTCAGTCTGAAAGGCAACACCACTGATTATTCTGATTGTTCTGAACCTCCTCCAACCACAGGTGCTGCCGGTGCTGGCTTAAGCATTATATTCACGGTTTTACCCAAAAGTGACGTCACCGTTCTTTGATGATGTTACCAACTTGTAATAATAAGCCTGCCTCTAGTCAGCCAATGTGATGAATTTCCGGGTCACCCCGTGTAGTTGAGTCTGTGGCACTCTTTGGAAGGCATCAGTCAATCGAGGAATCTCAGGGTTGAAGGGATATTCACACCACTCAGCCAAACTTCAGTCTTCCAACTTCAGACATATTGAAGCTCCTTTCTTGTTTCCTTTTCATCTCTGGGCATGAATTTTGAATCTCCTTCATGAAATGTTAACGGAGATTCTCTCTCTCCCTCCTTTGGAAATGTTAAAGAATTCTAGATTTAAACATTGAGCATCCTTAGAAATGCTTTTTATATTCTTTTACCACCTCATTTTTAGTGAATAAGAGTTTGTTCTCCAATAGAATTTTCAAAAATAAAAAGCAGCTGGTTTACACTTTGGAACTAATATTTGAACTTTTGTAAGCAAGGTTTCCATGCTTATATTTATTCGTTTCTTCAATCATTCAATGAATATGCATTGAGACATACTCTAGTCTAGAGGTTGTATTAAACACTACAATCTAGGTCATTGTTTTTGAAAGTCTTAATTAATTCCATATGAGAGGAAGTATTCAGTGATTACATATAGTATGAATAAAATACATGGTTATAGAACTGTAGCATTATATTATGCCATTGGCTATGCCACTTAAATAACAAAAACAGTACCTTCTAAGCTTGGAGACTGGGAGTCCTATATCAAGGTGTGAGAATGGCTCTCTCTTTGACTCATGTCTGGGCCATCTTCCTTCTTGTTCTCATACAGCCTATCTTCTGACTAGATGTTGGATGATTTGTTGGCTTGGTACTCTGGCTTCAATTCTTTTTCTTTTTTTTTTTTTCAAAAGACCTTTGTATATATCCCAGGACTGTAAAACCTTCAGTCCTCCTGCCTCTGTCTCCCAAGTGCTTGGATTCTGACTCTTCTTAGGCCATCCCTCTGCAAGCACCAATTTCATTATTTAACTTAACCTTAGTTACCATCTAAGCTCCCCATCTCCATCTCCCAAGCAATCTCACTGGAGGTTAGAGCTTCAACATATGACCTGGTGTTGTGTGGAGGGGGGGGGGGTGTCAGTGTGTACCAGAGACTTTTTTTCGGTCACAAAATGTCCTTTACTGTCAGGTGCTCTTCTAGACGAGCTCATGGAATTCTTGTCCCCCTGTAAACTCAATGTTACAGATAAGAAAAGCAATCCAGTAGGGGAGATGACTTGCCCACAGAGGTAGTAGCAGTAGCCAAGTCTTGGGTTGGCCCCATGCACAGCCCTTTTGGGCCTGGGCTTACCATAGTGACTGCTGTGCAGCAAACGCACTAGGCTGAGCTTCTGGCCTCAGCAGCGAATGTGCTGTTCTGCACTGCAAGGGCAATTTCTGCCATCCCCCTTACATTCACCAGAACATCACACTGGGGCTCCTGACCAAATTCTCTTGCCTGGTGATCCAAGGTTGAATTCCTCTTGTGGCTGCAGAGCTTCTCAGAATGACTTCAGGGTGTTTGTTGTTCCTCCCGAGGCAGGCTCCTTATGATCTGAGCATGGACACAGACCCAACAGGCACGTCATTCTTCTCCCAAAGGCACATCCTTCTTCTCCCTGTACCATCTGTCATTTGAGGGTGATCATTTTTTTTTTTTACATTAGTGAAGAAAAGCTCTTGGGGCGGCGGGGGGGGGGCACTGCTTCACCTGGAATTCGGGTCCTGTTGATGGCAGGCTTCCTACAGCAGGACGTGGCTGCGTTTTCACCTACTATCTCAGCCTCTCTCCTCATGGCTTGAGGGCTGGAGTCTACCCACAGCAGATTCTGACCTTGAGGCAGATTGCACAGGTGTCCTAGTGCAATAGCCAGGATTGCTGCTGTGCTGTCTTACTGCCCCCATGCTCCCCTTCCCCCCCCCAACGCCATGTGTGTGGGTGTGTGTATGCATGTACATATGTATATGTGTGTGTGTGTGTGTGTGTGTGTGTGTGTAATATCTCTCCTTTCTTCATCTCCCCTTGCCCTTTTCTCTTTTCCCCTAAATTTGCTAAATCTTAAGCTTGTGCTATTTAAACATCACTGCTCTCTGGAAGCTGGCGCTGCCGCCACCATTCAGGCAGGAGATGTCAGGACTGGTTTGGTTTGTCTGGATGGCTTATCCGTTGATTGACTGGGTAGACTTTTTCTAAGTGTGATGCTTGGTTCTGCAATGCAGCAGTCACCAAATCTCCGAGTGTTGGTTAGCTGCAAGAAGAACGGTTCTAAAATGCTGAGGCCTAGGTCCCGTTTCCAGAGGTTCTGATTCAATTTGGTCCTGGTTTCAAAGGCTGTCCAGTTGATTCTCACGGGTATCCAGGGTTGAGAATCTCTGGTTAGTGCTGAATGGTTGCCAGGGCAACCATTGATCTGCCACTTAAATATCTTCCTCTGAGAAATCTACAATGATGACTCTTTTTCAGGTGATTTTCCTCCACTGCTACCAGAGGGCGAGGCAGTAGGCAAGCGGTTATGGTAGGCCATGGTTATGGCCATCCCAAAAGCTGCAGCAGTGCTTGGGTGGGGACGTTGCTCCTTGGTAGAGCATGTGTTGCGCATGCTCAAGGTTCTGAGTTTGGTCGCCAGCACACACACCATCCTACATGCTCAGTGCTCAGCTATGGCCCTTCCTGATGGAGGACATTTTCTTCCATGTCTGTAGTTCTCAGCAGGATATTGACTTAAAGGGGATAGGGGTTTGTTTTGACAAAGTGGGGGTGGGGGTTGAGGGGTTGGTACTTTGGATTGCTATGATGACTTGAAGAAATGCAACTGGTCTCTCATGGGCAAGAGCCAGGCACACTGCAAAGTGGGGCAGATCTACCACAAAGAATTACCCGGCACAGAATGTCTCACACACATGCATGCCAACGCTTGGAAGTCCTTTCTAGATCCCTGCCCCCCTTGTGTCCCAAGAAGTATCACCAGATCTGGAATCAGTCCTGAAGTTATTTCCTGCATCCTGAAGCACAGTTTCAATGGTCTTTTTGAAACCTACATTTTGCATCATTTTGTAGCGCTCTCAGAATGCCATCATCCCTTTTGATTTTAAGAAACGATGGACACTGCCAGGCTGCGCCTTATCAGAGGCAGGATAATCCCAGCAGCACCCTTTCCATTTGCTGCCCACTTACCTGCCTGGCTACCTTCTCAAAATACAGAAAGAGCAGAGTCCAGGTCCTTGATGGAACCGCTGCCCATCCAGCCTTTGCCAGGCCTAACAGTCAACGGAGCCAGCCCCCAGGATGTGCTCTGGGCTGCTGGGCAGAGGTGCCCACAGCCTGGCGCAACAGGCCCTGTGCTGCAGTGATTAATAAACACTGCCCAGACGCTTTGAGCAGGGCCGCCGATTTTTCTCCCCACTTCCTTAGATCAGTTCATTATTGAATTAAAGATCGTTGTGATTCAAAGGGCACCCGTTGAACAGCCTGGGGGGACAAACGCAAGGTTTGGGGGAAGAAATTGAACCGGGTACTGCATTTACCAAATCCAGTCTCAGCTGGATGCATTTGTCTCTCTCTTAAGGAAATAATTCAAAAACTCCAAGGGCTGGAAGCAGAAGTAGAGCCTTCCCCTGCAGTGTCAGGAGCCCACACAGAGACGCTGGCGCGCCAGGAAATGGAGCCGATTATAGATAGCATGAAAGTGGCACCAGTCAAAAGTCACAGATGTGCCTGAGCGAAATGTTAAAAGAAACACCTTCTGAGAGAGAGAGAGACAGAGAGAGAGAGCGGTGGCTCCTCTTTGTTTTTATAATTGAAAGGACTAAGGAATAAAGGCATATATTCATATTAAATATACACACCCCTCCGGCATACAGGGAGAGAGAGAGAGACCCTATAGCATATCTTCATAAACACTCCTACACATGCATGCCCCTACACACACCCTTGTAGCACATACACACAGAGACATACACCCCTACAGAGTGCGTGCGCGCGCGTGCGCGCACACACACACACACACACACACACACACACACACACACACGGGAAGAGAGAGAGAGAGGCCCTTTTAAAGAAATGTTGGATACTCATTAGTTCTAACATAACAAAATCACAAATGGCTAGAACCTCACGGAGGGAGCAGAGCTGTCCTTTTTTTCTTCCCTGTAACTGGATCTATTTAATAAGCCCATGGTTTCTCCTTGTGAAGTCATTTTCCTGTATGGGTATTTCTTTTTCCAGCTTAGGTGGAAACCATTTGAGATTCCGAAAGCAGCTCAGAAGAAAGTGGACTTTGTCAGTGTAAGTCAATATTCTCCCTGCCTGCCCACTGCCCTCCTCTGTCCTGCGGGGAGCGATCCAGCCATCTGCAGTCGGAGTGCCATGCACAGCAGCCTAAACCGGAGGTGGCAGAGACAAAGCCACCTGTGTGTCTAATGGGGGCTGGCTGAGGGATGCCTTACTTACAGGCGCCATATGTCTCCTGACATCAAAGGGCACCCAGGAGCCTTTTGCCTCACAGAAAGACCAGTGAGAGTAAAAACATCCTCCCTCAAGCGCCTCTCTTTCCGGTTGGGATGGGCCCTCTTAACCCTGATGCCTTTGGGGTTCTGGTGAAACCTGATTTGATTTGCATTTGTTTATTTGTTTGTTTGGTTGGTTGGTTGGTTACTTGGTTTGGTTTTGTTGAGACAAAACCTCCCCCTGCAGCTCAGGCTGGCCTTGAACTCTTGACAGTCCTTTTCCCTCAATCCTGGATGCTGGGATTACTGCTCCAAACCACCACACCTGGCCTCACCTGTATTTTTGACTGGGTAAAATAAATTACATCAAATTACACAGACAGTTATGTTTAAATACAATGATAAAAATATTTCAAAAAAAACCCCCAGTATTTGTTTTACAGTTACAAACGCGTCCCCTAGTTAATGTACTAGATCATAAGACCTATGGGAAAATCCAATCTCTATGGTGTGAGCTCAAATGATATTTTGAGGTGCCTCTGACATATGATATAAAAATGTTTCAGTCACTGACAAAGTTGCAGGCACATCCGGTGCTGCTGTGGCTTGCTACCTGCATTCGAAATACTTGAAGGAAATGATAAATTTCACTCAGATTAGTAGAAAAAAAAAAAAAAGTTCCCATCCAAGAACTTGAACCCCTGAAATAGATAAACTGGGCTCAGATGCATCAAGTCCGGTGGTACCTGATGAATACAGTGCCAATCGGCAGCCCTTCTTGATAGTTGCAAATGTTGGCATTCCCGGGGACACCTGCGCCCACAGCAGGAAGCATGTGGGTGAGGGGACTGGAGCTCTCAGGAGGAGGTGCCCCAAGAGGACAGAGGAGATTTCTGCAGGCCACCTTGGCTCACAGCTTACTTAGGGACACTCCAGAAGCCCAGCTACAGCTCAAACTGTTAAAATCATCTTGAAGTCTTTATCCTTCTAAGTGTCCCTGTACCTTATGAAGACTCACCTTAGGAGAGCTCAGACTTACCCATTAAGTGACATAGAAAAACAAACCCCCTCCCTGTGTGAGCTACGGTTGTCTGAGGAGCAGAATCCTCTCTGTTTCGGCTCCCTGCCTGCAGGTTTGGGCCAGAGTAGGGTTGTAAGAAGTCTCGGCTCAGTCCCCCTCCCCCCCCACACTCCTGCCCTGTGTCAGGGCTTCTTGCACTATGGATCATCTGGTCTTGTAGCAGAAGGATTTGCTGTCAGCCACAAAGTTTTCCTGTGCTCCCCTCTGTTCTACTCTGGGGGAAATAGCCTGGCCTTCTTCACAGGAGAGGGCCTCTCTCAGGGTCTGGTAACTCGAGGTCTGGTAACTACATATTGAGGGAAGAAGTTTCAGGTCTTCTCCCCACAAAATCCTTCTAGCAGTCATAACCTCCTTCCTCCAAGTTTATCTTGATCGTAAGAAAACGCTGGTCTTAAACTCATCTAAGGACATGACTTCATGCTCTGTAAGCTCTTCTGCTGTGGCCATTAAGGCAGTTCAGACAAGGCCATGGCCATCAACTAGGATGGGACAATTGAGTGTAAGTCGTTATGTTTCAGGCAGCCCTAGATCCCAAATGGCCTCTGGGACATTCTCAAAGGGAAGAATACTAGAAGCATGCTTCATGATGCTCAGGGGCCACAGGGAAGGCTGAGTCTCTTACACACGACACCCTCTCCTCCTCTCTCCCTTCTCCCAGGGCCTGCACACCTTATGTGGAGCCGGAGACATCAGGTCTAACAATGGGCTTGCTATCCACATCTTCCTGTGTAACTCCTCCATGGAGAACAGGTGAGAGGCTCAGTGCCGGGGCACGACATGTCCATCCCCCAGTGCCCGTTGGCCAGAAGGTGAAAACCCATTAGCATCACGCGCGCACAAGCATTGTTCTTTTCCTGTTGATATGCACTTACTGATAAGGACGAATAAGAATTTCTATTTTGACTGACTCTTGTGACAAAGACAAGAACGTCACGTGACAGTGTAGACAGAAAGGAGAGGTTAGGGCCTTGTGATGAAGGAGTGGCTTGAGTAGGTAGGTCAGAGATAAATAGAACCCATTTCTAAGGCTCCCTAGGGCTCTAGTCCAAAGTCACATTGCATGAGCTGTTATGAAGGCGAAGTGACAGACTTGGCTTTCGCTAATAGCTAGTAGCTTTGCATAAGCCTAATGTTAGTATACATTTAACTAGTGTATATTCAGCTTTCTTCAAGGTGGTGCATGTCACAGTGCCTGCATTTACAAATCAGAGGACAACTGGAGGATCCCATTCAGATCTCAGGGATTGAACTCAGATCCTCAGCCTTGGCTGTGGGAGCTTTTACAGGCTGGGCTATGTCCCTGGTCCCTGTATGCTGCTTTCTTCTTTTCTTTTTAAATTAAAAAAGTAAATGATAGCCTTGCCCTTCCTTTAGAAAGCAGACTATCATGGCAGCTTTGTAGACAACCTCCAGAACAGCAGTTCTCAACCTGTGGGTCGAGACCCCTTCAGGGGTCACATATCAGATACTTACACTATGAGTCATAACCGCAGCAAAATTACAGTTATAAAGAAGCAATGAAAATAATTTGATAGTTGTGGGGGGAGGGGTCTCCAGGCATGAGGAACTATATTAAATAAAGGTAGTGGGAAGGTTGAAAACCACAGCCCAGGACTAGACTGTTGTTTCTCAAGCTGAACTTACTGAACCTGTGTGAGCTATTCAAGTGTTTACAGTTGTTTTCATTTGTATCTTACTTTATGTGTGTCGATGTTTTGCCTGCACATATATCTGTGTACCGTGTGTGCCTGGTGCCTGCGGAGGGCGTTGGCACTGGAGATAAGGGACAGTTGTGAGCGACCACGGCAGTTCTGCTCTTAACCGCTGAGCCATCTCTCCTGGCCTAGCTATTCCGTTTTTTGAGTCATGAGTCAAGGCCAAGATTACAGCCCTTTCAGAAGCACTGGAGACCTCCCTTTGGGACCAGGCTTGTATCAGGTCACCTCCCTCCCTCCACTCAAGCCACTCTGGGCTCCCTTTACTTCTCTCAACCTGCCATGATCCTTCTTGGATCAGGAGAGTGCTTCTCCTTTTGCCTGGAGTTTCTCCTCTTGCCTGATGATAGCTTCTGCTCTCTCATCTATCGCCTCATCTGTAGGGAGGGGGGCCTCTGTTGTCTCCCCAAATCAGTACAGGTCCCTATTCCTTCATGCCCCTGAACTTGACTTTCACAGTGCCATTGCACCTTGCAGTGATGGAGCTCTGCAGTTGTGTTTCCTGCTGGAGCCTGCCAGACTCTGAGCTCCACGGGGGGCTTCTCTGCTGGCTATTTTATGCCCAGCACCTGGCCTGTGGTAGGCACTAAATAATAACTCGTAGAGTGAATAAACTTGTCCAGAATGTGTTAAAGCTGAAAATCACAGAAAGTGTTCTGTGTGTTTCAGATGTTTTTACAATTCAGATGGGGACTTCCTGATTGGTAAGTTCCTCATTGGTGAGATTGACTGATCACCCCTAGCCCCGAGTTATATTTCTTTTTGTTTTGTTTTGTTTTTGCGTTTTATTTGCCTGCAGTCTCCCATCTGTTTTATTTAATGAAGTACCGTCTCCAAGAGTGAGATCCAGATACCACGGGTGGTCTGGAAAAACATTCTCAGCATACCTCAGAACGTCTAATGTATGTTCTGAGCTTTCTGCCTGTGGCTGTCTTGCTGGCCTCTCTCATGTCGGAGATCTTGGCCGCCGATATGAAATGAAGTTACTAACTTGTGACCAACTTATTAGGAAAATTCTATTTGTTTTTAAACTCACCCAAGGAAAGCCCATTTGTCATCAATGATCACAACCCAGGTACAAATTTTATGAGACCATTTAGAATATAAGGCCCAGGAGGAATTATTCTGGCCTTCCCAGGCCATTTGGTGGTGTTGGTATCAGTATGTGTAGTCAGCAGACATGCAAATGCCAGCACTCCCACCGAAATGTCAGAAAAGAGTGATTTTTCCGTGGGATTTCGATGATCCTTTTGGGTTAATTCACATAAGTGTGTGTATACAAGCTCTCCTAAAAGGGAAAGGGGTGGGGGGAGAAAATTGAGATTTGGAAGAATTTTCAAAATCTTCTAGGCAGTACAATAGCTAACTGATATTGTCAGAATATAATTTACCCCCAAAAGACACATTAAAGGTCCCCTCATTTGCAAGGACAATGCAGCCCCTGAAGTCTTGGGTTCTCTCTTGAACAGGCTGAACACTGCTTTTTTTTTTTTTTTTTTTTTTTTTTTTTTGCCAGTTCCACAGAAAGGGAAGCTTCTCATTTACACAGAGTTTGGCAAGATGCTCGTGCAGCCCAATGAGATCTGCGTCATTCAGGTTGGTAATGAGCCCCCTCGCCCCTCTCCCTCTCCCTAATTTGGGAACAATCAGATGTTTCAGCTGCTGCTATTTCTAACACTAAAATGTCTCTGTCATGTCTGGGCAACGGGGAGGAGTCAGCGTTACACAGAAGGCTCGGTGCCTGCTTTGTCTAATATAGCACACACCCAGCAAGGGGTGTTTATTACTTCCTTTCCTATAGTCTGCTTAAGGCTATGTCAGAGATAGGAGATGGTGAAGGTATTCACAAAAACAGCTAAGGGTGGCCTGCTGTTCTCTCTGGGTCCAGCGAGACATTAATTACAGGCATGATTAGGAATTAGATCTTTCTTTGGAACCCATCTTTAATCTGCTCGCCTGGAACAACACAGCTGGAAATGTAAGACCTAGGGTCTCGCAGCTCAGGAGTTCAAGATCGTGCCCTTCCCAGAAACTCCCCCAGACCAAGACTCATTGCAAAAACAAGAGGTTTATTAACCATTGCACAATGGGGTCACCCCTGCCAGTCAGCAAAGAGTGGCACCGGGAGACAAAGGCCTTTAGGTTTTTAAAAGAAAAATTGCGGGAGATTTGAAGTTGCAGTCTTGGCAATTTAGGATTGGATGAGGAGCTATCAAGTAATATAATTGGTTAGTCTTAGGTGCTCAAGCTTGGCCAGTCCTGCCAAGTATGGATGCAGCTGCAATTGAAGGTGGGGGTGGTTAGCTCATCCTCGAAGATTAGGGGTTACAGACTTTTGGCTGGAGGTCAAAAGCTACTCAGAAGAAGTCTAGGTTCGTTGCTAAGAAACGCTATCTCAAAGACAAGGGTCTGGTCCTTCTTTTGCTGAGTGAAGGTCATTTCTTGCTTGCCTTTTTTTTTATATCTGTCCTCACAGATAGGGTCACATTCCTCCATTCTCTGGAAAGGTACTAAGAGGCTTTAGCTTAACCTGGTCCTAAAACTCAAAACTATAGGCTTTAGAAGACATACAGGTTACAAAGTTAGCCTAACCCTTTCAGAAACACTTTACTTCTGCCTATAACGGCAAGTGTGGGATTTATGAGGGCACGCTTGTGTCTCTGTCTTCCAGAGAGGAATGCGATTCAGCATCGATGTCTTCGAGGAGACCCGGGGCTACCTCCTGGAGGTCTATGGCATCCACTTTGAGTTGCCTGACCTGGGACCGATCGGTAAACCTTTACTCACTTGAGACGCCATCTTTCGTCTCTTCTTCACTCTCACACTTGAACTTTGACTTTCCAGACAGCTTCCTTAGACCCAGTGGCTCCCTATAAAAATACATGAATAACAGAAAATGGCCCAAACTAATCTATTAGTGTCTCTGAAATAACATGACTGGAAAATGATGATAAAGGCATTTAATGGGTTTCTGGTTAGATGTAGAAATTACAAGGGATGCAGAAGGAGATCACAAAAATAGCTTTGCCAAAGATGAGACGGGAGACTTGATTAAATTCTTGTTTTCTTTTAAGTCAAGGTCTTTTTACAGTCAAGGTTGACCTTGAATCCCCTATGTAGATGAGATTGACCCTGAGTTTGTAAGCCGACTGCCTCAACTTCCTGGATGCTGAGATTATAGGTATTTGCCACAATGCCCAGTCCCACGAAATGCAGGGCACTGGACCCAGGGCTTCAAGAATGCTAGGCAAGCACTTTATCAACGGAGCTACATTCCAGCAGCCCCAAGAGTCCATTAGTAGCTGATGGCAAGTTAAAGAGAAGTAAAGAGGACAGGGAACAGCTTAAGGAAATGCATGCAGATTAGAAATAAGCTTTGTGAATCATGTTTCCTTAAGTCGATGAGCTGTGTGCTTCCAGCCGTAAAAATGGCCTGGATTCTATTCCCATGAAAAGCTGGACTGGACCAGGTGACCCATGGCCTTTGAACATCACATTCCTTCTGAGTGACGAATCACAAAAGCCACACACTGAATGGTAACAAGTGTCTTGCTCCATGCTATGAAGGAGCTGGAAACGACAGCCCCTGGGAGACAGAGTAAAACTTCCAGACATGCTCTCCCAACCCATATTCTTCCAAGAGCTAAAGGCAGGAGATGCAGGAGGGAAGCAAAGGCCTTAGGAGCAAGTGTTCCCAGGCCTCTCTTGGAGAGAGAGCCGGAGGAATTGGCCCCCGGTTTCATCTTGGGCCAGTTCTTTCCTTCCTGTCAACAGCTTTTCAGAGCAACAAGGACAGGCCAGCATGTGCCTTCTGGTCACTCCCCTGGGGATCCAAATATTCAGAGGAAGGTGGGAGGCAGCAGAGAGGCAGCTGGAGCCATGGTGGGCCGTCTGTCATGTGTTTGCCACCCACTCTTCCCACTTTGGTCTAGCTTCCTGCTGCTCTGCAGGCTGCAGAGCCTCCAGGTTCCACGGAGCGTGTACCCTCTGGAAAATATATATAATTTACTAACCAGCTGGGGGCTTTTTTTTTTTTTTTTTTTTTTTTTTTTTTTTTGTAACCCCAGGAGCTGGAAATGATAAAACACTCCCCAGGCCTCTCCTCTCCAAGTTAAATTATGTTTTTGCACTTACGCTTTTTCATATTTTGTCTTTTGATTTATTTCCTTTCTCTGGAGGGAACACTCACTCCTGAACAAAGCTAAGCAGCCAGGTCCTTAATTTTTTCCTCCCTGAATGGCAGGCAGAATTTTTTTTTTTTAGGCTGGACAGCAGTTTAATAGTCCTGGCTTTTGAGCTCTGTCTAGCCGGCAGAGGCCTTCCTGGGACAATAGCTTATAACCTTTTAACATGAGATCAAGGCCTAAGGATGTATTGGAGAGTCCCCAGGGCTTCCTTGGACAGAGATCGGCAGCTCTCTAGATCTTCCGCTCTCTTCCTCTCCTTCTCTCTCACCCGCAGTACATGATTAGTGATGAGGTAATGCATATAAAAAGCACATGAACCATAATCCCTCTACAACCATAGGAGAGGACTCTGCTTATGAGGACTTTGGAAATGTTCTTTTTCCAACCAAAACTCTTGGATCTTCCCACAAATCTACCAGACTGGGCTCTGGCAGATTCTGTGCTGCTTGGGATTGAACCTAACTCCTCACGTATGCTGGGCAAGCACTCGGCCATAGCCCTGGCTAGGAATCAGCAAGGATTTTGGTGAAGAAAGTAATTTGTGGAATGGCTCATGACACGGAAGGTCTTCCCAACTGTGGGCACCTTTCCTTTGACTTCGGAAGTATCTAAATGGAGTTCCGGTTACTGTGTTCTAGGAGCAAATGGTTTGGCCAATCCCCGAGATTTCTTGATCCCTGTTGCCTGGTATGAAGATCGCCAAGTGCCAGGTGGCTACACTGTGATTAACAAATACCAGGGCAAGCTCTTTGCTTCCAAACAGGTACAATAAGATTGTCAGTAGTCAGGGAGAGAATGTGCAGTTATGAAGTACCAGTTGGTAGCCAAGGTCAGCATCAGGTACATTGCATATAGCCTTTTGTCTTTATCACACCACTGAGGTACTACAAATTACATCATCATGGGAACAGGTCAGGTGGGGATAATTCACCAATGTTCCAGTAAGTGGCAGAGCCAGTGTTAAAACCCCCAACTGTTTGACTTGAGGGATTGTGGACTTTCTACTTATCTAGCAATGGAAATTTGGCAATATATAGGTCTCTACAAACGACATGGAAAACATAACGTATAGACCACCTAACATGTTCTCAAAAAGGAAATGAGACACCACAAACATCAACCTAGACTGGTAGTCTTCAATGACCACATTGTTTCAAATATAAGTGACTGTTGGTTCAAAGAAAAGGAATTTAGTTAATTAGCTTCAGTTGTACCATAGGCCCTGATAAACTCAAGACATGAGATCACAGGCAATAATATAAAGTTAATTTTAAGACATGGCAACAGCTGAGCATGGTGGCAGCACGCCTGTAATCCCAGTACTCAGGGAGGAAGCTCTCTGTGAGTCTGAGGCCAGCCTGGTCAACAAAAGGAGTCCATGACAGCCAAGGCCACACAGAGAAACCCTGTCTCAGAAAGAATATATAAAAAAAAGACATGACAACATTCTATCCTTTCTGTAAGACTGTCACATGGAAAAAGATAATATATAATTTATGGTATAATACTATATGTTTCTTTTTGTTCATTTTTTTTTTTTTGATACAAGGGCTCATGTAGCCCAGGTTGGCCTTGAACTTTCTTTGTAGCTGAGAGTAACCTTGAATTCCTGATCTTCCTGCCTCTACCTCCCAAGAAAGAGGATTACAGGTGTGCATCATCATGGCAGGCTATTTCTATGCATTATTATTTAATATACTGTGTATCATCTTAGAACAGATTAATCATAGAAAGCTCACAAATAACTCTTCAGTTACTATTATTTGTTTTATCTTCTAATTTGTCTGATTTACTATCTATATTTGCCTCGAATGCATTGCTTTCCTTGAATAGCACCCAAAAACCATGCCAACCAGCAAAGGCAAACCAGTTTGAAACTTCCGCTTAGGTCCTGGAGCAAATAGCAACATATCACCCTCATATTTTCTGGGTCAGGATTTTTGGAAAGTTGTTCAGGGACCATTTGTATGAGAAACCCTCAGAGGGGTTTGTTTAAAATGCTCAGTACTCTCACCTGGCAAAAGCAATAACCTCTGGAGAGAATCAGAAGTAGGAATCTACATGAATTTTAAGTATGTCCCCCAGATTATTATTCTCCTGCAGACACTGTGTCTATGAGAAGTCCCTTTAGTCTGAGAAACCCTGGAGAAACAGCACAGCAAGTGCCTGCTACACCGGGAAACAGAGGGCAGCCCAAATCATTTGAGGATTGCTGACACCTGCAGATTCCCACCGTTATGTTAAAAATTGAAAAGGCGCCGCTTGCTGAGTGTGCTGGGCTTCTGCTGCTCATGTGGTAGAGGCCTCCAAACTGGGAAAGGGGGTTAGTGACGAAGCAATGACCTAGGAGAGGGTCCGTGAAGCAACCGCAGAATGATTACAAGCTATCATTCTCGCAAAAAGATGACAGTCAAATTTAGAACAATTTCAAGTAACAAGGGTTATGTCGGTGAGCACTATTTAGACCATGGCTACAGAAACGTTGCATTCTAAGAGTGTGCTCTCCTGGTTTTTGTGATTAGGATGTCTCCCCATTCAATGTTGTGGCCTGGCATGGAAACTACACCCCCTACAAATACAACCTAGAGAACTTCATGGTCATCAATGCAGTGGCCTTTGACCATGCGGTAAGTCTGGACCATGTAGGGACCCTGGGCATGGGACAACCCTTAAATGGGAGAAATCCACAGTATCCCCGTAGCGCTCACAGATCTCAGGTTTTCAAGGTCATAATGCCTCAACAAGGTCATTTGTCCTTTGGGGAAGGAATATGCTATGTGGCAAATGAGGAAGCGAAGAAATTCCCAACCTAATTTACTTTTCCTCAGAGTAATCACAACTCTAATAGCTGGGAAAGAAAAAAGGTGCTAATGAGAATAATGAAGTCAGGAGGAAGGGTCGTTTCCAGGTCTGGAGGTCTGGCCGCGCCTTGCACACTGGGGCATATACTCTGTTTGCTCTGGCTCCCTACCTGCTCACCAGCCTGGGCTTGTGGCTGCAGTCAAGAGCAAGGCAGCCCTCTTCTAAAGTTACTCAGAGGTTGAATGCTTGAGTTTAAAAAAAAAAATGCCTAATGTTTGAACCTGGTCATATTTTTCAGTCAATTAGGGGGCCACAGATAGGTCCCTGGTCTCTGGTACAGGCTCCCAAGAGCCCGCATGCTTGATGAAGTGCTAGTTCTGAGACCCCGAGGGTAAGCTCATTTTGCAGTATACTTCATAATAGATTAACTTAACCCACAAGCTTAGGGATAATTGGGGCAGAAGCCAGAGAATCAGGGATAGAAGGATTACTCTGAGCCAATTCAGCTTATCTCTAGGGGGACAAAACTACCTTTCTGAACAACAGCGAATCTTAATAAAACCAAAGGGGAAAAGAAAATCAAGATTCCAAGCCCAGAGCATCACAAAGAAGCATCCTGAGACCCTGGTAAAGCTCTGCTTGAGCCTTCCCACCTTTTCTTTTCTTTTAATAGTTTCAGACCATTTCCCAAGACAGATGAAAAAAAAAAAAACAAAAAAAACAAAACTGTTAACTCTCCCAGCAAGAAGGGTTGGGTTGACTTGTTTGGTTTTAGTTTTGTGTTTTGTCTTGTTTTACATTGGTTTTTCTCATTTGACTTTACAGAGGTCTGACCTTCTCTATACTGCTATGGTAGTCATTCCCCACCCCCACCCCCACCCCCAATTTCAGATCTGATCATCCCACCACTGCATTAGAAAACCTTTGTGGGCTCCCCATGGTCTAGGATTAGGTCTGAGCCCTGAAGCGTGGGATTTGATGCTCTCCCCCATCTGGCCCTGGGCTCCTTTCTCCAGTTCACATCCTGCCCCTCCTTCTCCTCGCTACACTGCGGGCTTTCACCTTCCCCCTGCTTCACAAACCCTCTGTGCATCTCCACAGCCTTTCTATCCTCCCTCTCTTCTCCTTTTCTCTTCTACCCTTCCCCCTGTTCCTCTCCTTTGTTCACTTTTAAAGATTTAACTCAGGCCACAGGTCTCAGAAGCTGTCCCTGATCCTGTCAGAGGAGGTGAGAATGAGTGGTGGCAGGGAGAGCCATTGCTGCAAGCAGAACAGCACTGTACAAACGGATGAAAGTGTCAAGAAACAAACTCAACAGAGTTATTTTGAAAAAAAAAGTAGCTACTTTCTCCTCCCCCCCCCTCATTAAAGCTAAAGGAGTAGAGAATAGATTCCCAATCTTTGACTATCCAGATGTCAGCACCGAGTCTCAAAGTGAGCATTGGTATCAATTAAATTGAATCTTGGGTTTGTTGGTTTTTTTTCATCTAGGAGTCTAAAGTTCTTGAGACTTTAGACTCAATATAGTCCACAGCGTAAATGCAGGACCAGAAATCTTGAGAGTCAAACAAGAGTCAGACTTTTTCAGCAGCTGTCAGCTGTTTCCTGCCTGTGGACACCACCCTGACACTCTGCCTCCCAGGAAGCAAACCTACCTCTACCCTAGGATGTGGATACTGTTTTGTTTGTTTCCCAGCATTCTCTGAGCAGCAGACAAGCTCCCTGCCACTCAGCCTGGGAGAACAAGCAGGCAGTCTGGCTCTCAGAGTCGTAGGGCGATAGGGCACCCCTAATATAGACTTCAGCAGGCTTAGAGATACGGCTGCCAATCTTCTTATCAAGTGGGAATGTCTTTTGCTTCAATTACAACGAGGGGACAGTCACATGAGTGACTGCACCAAATATCTAAGAGCCCAAGTATCTAAGCCTGACCTGGGTCACTTCATCAGAAACTGTCCCTGGAGAACACCCTCCTGTGCAGGTGACATGCTGCTCCTGTTGGGTCACCTCCGGTGCCTGCTTACGTTCAGTCTCTCCTCATTGTATCCACAGGACCCTTCTATTTTCACAGTGCTGACTGCCAAGTCCATGCGACCTGGAGTGGCCATTGCTGACTTTGTCATCTTCCCACCTCGCTGGGGGGTTGCAGATAAGACCTTCAGACCACCTTATTACCACAGTGAGTCCCTCTTTCCCCAGAACACAAAACAGGGAGGCACTGGGGACAAGGGCCAGGTTGTTCTTGGACCCCCCCTACCCTGCCTTGAGTTTAGAGTCCTGCCTCCCAGCTGCTATTGGGCTTGAAGAGTCTGCATCAACTAAACTGGCTCCTGTTTCTCTGAGCCTAAAGAGAGACAGGCAGGGTGGTGGGGTGTGAAGGGAGAAAGTACATTTCAGATCTTTTTTAAGGGTAGTGCGTTGTGGTGATTTTGAATTTGTTTGGAGAAACAACTTAAATCTGGTTCAAGACCAAGTAAAATGTTCCTTCTTTAATTATGTTGGCAAAACAAGGCAGATAACAATCTAAACTGAGAGACAGTGTGGATTATTCTAGAAGAGGGAGGTTTTATTAATTAAATTTATTCTTTGACAATTCCACACACACATACATACATAGATAGTGTGTTCTGATTGTCCTCACCCACCCTTTCTCATCATCACCCGTCGCCTTTGCGTCAACCCTCGTCTCTATTGATCTCTTTCCCACACTCCTTTCTTTTTATTTAGTTTGTGTTCGTCTGAGTTTGACCAAGACCTTCTCTGTGGCCTTGTGATTGAAACCATTCATTGGAGCATGGCAGGTAGACCAGTTGGTACAGAACTGAAGACAATGGCTGCCTATCACAGAGTTGGCTCATTTCCTTGTAATCCATATCAGTGACCTATAGTTCAACAGTAAGGGGAGAGTTCTGGCTAGCCTCTCTCCCACCCATGACTGACCATTGAGAGAGCCTCCTGTGCAGTTCCTGTACAAGAAACCAAAGCCACTATGAGTTCGTAACTACATTGGCTGTGTACATGGGATGGTGTTTGCTGCCTTTCTTCCTATCTTCCAGCTTTCATGTTATTTCATTTTGTCTTTGCACAACATTCCCTGAGCTTTAGAGGGGGCAGTATAAATACATAACTTGTTTAGGGCTGAACTCTCATTTGTCACATATTCTCAGCATCTTGGGCAGCCATGATTCACCAGTGTCCACTGTAAAGAGAAGCTTCTTTGAGTAAAGTTGAGAGTAGCTTCTGTCTAAGAAATGAGCATGGATATTTAGAAGGAAGCTTAACATGTCCATGTAGCTAAACATCAGTAATAGTTTGCCTTACTGGGTCTATAACCTCCAAAGCCTTGGGGTTTGACCAGATTTTCAAAACCAAGCATAAGGTCCCTTCTATGGCACAGGCCTCAGATCTAGAGAGCAGTTGGTTACCCTATGACTGTCATGCCACTGTTGTATACATAGACACATTGTGCTGACAGGTTAATGTTGTAGAGTTGGTAGAATTGGTGGAATTCATTGGTGGGTAAGACTATTCCATAGCCTTTCTCCCCCAGCCACCGGCACAGCACAGAAGGCGATTCCAACAAATCCACTTTCATTTTATTTGTATCAGTATGACTAATGACTAATGATTGTTTGCTAGTTTCTAAGGCCCTAATGTAAGTTTTTTAAAAAAAGTATTAACTTATTTGGGTCTGAGAACAGCAGCAAGAGATAGCTAATATCAATTATCTCCCTTTCTGTTTTCCATAAGATGAGAGTGGCACAGGGGAATAAGAAATTCTCAAGGTTTCACAGTTAGTTAAGTGGCAGGGTCAGGATTTAATTGCAGATGGTCTGATGCCAAAGCAGACGCATGTGACTGCTAATTGATGCAGCTAATGCTGTGGCCTGCACATAATACACATCTAGAAATATTTATTCAGTCAGTGAACACATTACCAAGGATGAATAAGATGCACTGCAGCTGCATTTAATGAGGTTGACATTTTTAATTGTGCACATTAAACAAGGCCAAGGTACAGTTCTGCTTCCAGGAAATTCTTACAGTTTTTTTGCACATAGAATTCTGGAAAGACTCTAACATGCATTTCCAGCTGGAACATTTTTAGAAAACAAATGATTTTCCATAGTTAACTGCAGAACCTTCTGTTTATATGAGGCTCCTCTCTGTAACAGTTCCCAGGTACCAGAGCTTAATGATGTATGGCTGGACTGAATGGGCAATCTAGGCATCTGTGAGGGTGGGGATGTAAGGCTTCCAGAATGAAAGAGGGTCACTTCACAGTCAGGTGACAGCCAGTGTGCCCTTGGAGGTCACCATCAAGAGTGCCTTTTCTCTTTTAAGTTTGTTCTCAAGCTTCGTTGGCTTTAAAGTACAAACTCAGAGCCTGCACTTTGAACTTGGAAGCCAGAGGTTTCTGACCCAGAAGGTCTCCAGACTATGTTGAGAAGAGTGGTGGAGGATTTGTCTCCACCAGGGAGAGGGACAACAGCCGCATGGCTGTGCTCTGGCTCCCAAACCACTCCTTACCTCTGTTTGTACTGCAGACTGCCTGAAACAGTGGGCCTTGGGAAATGCCTTCTATGAAGTTTTTAATGACTTGTCCCCAAATAACATCTCATAAAGAAATCATATCCTGAGCTGATTTACAAAAAAAACAAAAACAAACAAACAAACAAACAAAAAAAACCCCACAGGACCCCAGGTTAGGAATTAGTTTTATCGGAGATATAAAAATATTGCTTCAGCAATACTCAAAATCTTTGTTACTTTGATGTGACTTTAGGGGAACTGGGGAGTTATTCCTGTAGAAATATTGCCTCCAGTCATTTTAATGCACCTTAGTCAATAAGATCCAGGTTTAATCAGAAAAGCAAGGCCTACCCTCCTACTGTCCTTTGAAATATCGAAAGTGATGCAGAATACCTTCCCCAAACTCATTGCCAACTAAATTCACATTCAGATCAAAACCAAATCCCATCCTGCTTTCTTCTTAAAATTAAGCCGTGAAGGTGACCCTGCAACACGTGCTTCAGGAGGAATCGTGACTGTAGACTGAAGCTATGTGCAGAACTGTTCTTGAAATACAGATTCTTAGGGCTTCCGTTTGCGCCTTTTCCTTTATCTGCTTTGTGAGAGGTGTGAGGGGCTGTGATCCGAGCCTCACTTTCTCCTCAGGGTTACGGCATGTTCACTTTGGAAGGCCTGGAGCAGGGTGCTGTGCTGGGGACGGGAAGGGGTGGCTGTTCAGTTGATTGCAGAAATGGTAGAGAGCCTACTTATATTCCACAGGGGAGGAAAAAGGGTGTGGCACTGGCCAGTCGAGTGTTTGCCTTTGCAAGGGCTATCGCTGCATCGTCACATGCTCTGCGCGCTCCATCTTCCCACAGGACCGACGATAAGCAGCTTTAAGCAGCCTGCTTCCTCTGTAGGCCACAGTAGTTAGAACAGTGTCTAATTGCATATTTTGAGTAGGGGTGGATAGGTGCATGGGTGGGAAAATGAGTGGGAGGGAGACAGACAGATGAATGGATAGACACAGTTGGAAAGGTACTTGAATTTACCCCGGTGTCAGATCCCTTTAATTCTTGCTCACAAGGTATTTCTATGTTGATAAAGAGCTTTATTTCAACAGAAAGAAAAAAAATACCAAAAGAGTGAGGGCATGGTGGGCTTTGTCAAATGCGATGTGGCTCTTGAAGGCTATGTAAAAATGTCTATTTAATATAAAAAAAATAACAAAAACTGAGAAACATACAATAACTTGATAGGTTGCTCTGCAGAGCATTTCCATTTATTTAAGGTGGGCAGGCAGAGCCCAGTAAGGAACCCAGTGTGGGAAAGTCTTCTGTATGAAGTAGAACTAAGGGCTATTTCAAGTGTTCAGATTTATGGTTCCAGGAGAACAGAGGATACGATTCTGCCATGTTCAGATTCAGTTATCTGTTATGGTAAAGAATATTTATGGTATTTTATAGAGACCTATCATCTGTCTCACAGACCATCACTTGACAATGGACTGTAAGTCTGGACTTTGTCCTGTGTCATTACCTTCACACACACACACACACACACACACACACACACACACCACTTCACTTTCTATACTGGGAACCAGAATTGTGATGAAACCATGGGGTTTGGGGGATTATCTGATAATTTTGAAATACAAGACCTGAAAGCCTAGAAGAAATGCCGTCTGGAAGATCTTGATAGTGCTACAGGTCTTGCCTTGGATAATAACAATAACACTGCTTCAACCTTCCCAGGGAACTGCATGAGTGAATTCATGGGACTCATCCGAGGTCACTATGAGGCAAAGCAAGGTGGATTCTTGCCAGGGGGAGGCAGCCTGCACAGCATCATGACCCCTCACGGCCCTGACGCGGAATGCTTCGAGAAGGCCAGCAAGGCCAAACTGGCACCTGAGAGGATTGCTGACGGCACCATGGTGAGCAAGTTAATATTTCAGGGGCTCTGGGCTTCACAAACTTCTGTAGAAAAAAAAAGCAGCTATGTCTTTTTTTTTGTTTTGTTTTTTGTTTTTTTAATTTCTCCAGCATCACAGAGGTAGAGCGGGGGGGAGTTTTGTGTCTACGTGTGTACGTTGTGTGAATGAATACATACAGCCTTGTGTATATGCCACATTTCTGGCGTGACAGTGTAGAAAGGGTTTGAACTGGGAGTCAGACCGGTTCCAGTGCTAACCCGGTTCCTATGTAGGCTCTCCATGCTTTATTTCCCCATCTGTAGAATGGGTATACTATCCAACTCAAAGGACATCTGTGAGTTATAACACCTAATGGAGCATTGAATAACTTCAAATGCAAGGGAACATGATTAGTGTGCTTTGAAGGGTCTTACCGTATCTAAACGCAGCCCTGTTTGGGGGGAAGTCATCCTGAGGATCACAGGGGCAGAGGAGGCGAAATGTCACCTTCCTCCAGTTCCTAAAGCCAAGGAGGGTCAAACAGCTTTTGTGTAGTTGGGGGCTTGTGAGTAACTACTGTCAGCTGCTTTTTAATTTTGTTTTCTTTGTTCTCCTTTGGCATGGGATGAGGCTGATGGGATTTAGACTCTGTTTTGTATTCCTCTTGTGTCAGGCTGTAAACACTGGGGTGGAACAGGATTGCAGTTGGCTGCGGTACTTGATTTTATTTTATTTAATTTATTTATTTATTTTGCATTCTTCGAACTAGACTCAGTGGGCCTCAAGAAATAATTTTATGCTAAAGCACAGTGCAAACTTGCTCCGCATTTTAAAACAGATGGCTTCACAGCTACAGAGTTTAAGACTTGTAATGCAGACCTGCTTGACTCAGAGCCCAACTGTCAACTCCCTAGCGTTAGCTGTCCACATGGCCAGTGGGGTTTTGCTGGTTTGGGTCCCAAGTCCAAAGCCAGAGCTGCTTTTATGGAGGAAAGGACACAGAGTCCTTCCTGTTTCCTTTGCCTTCGCTTTGTCACCCATTTCTTGGCCCTCCTGGGAGTATCTACAGGAATCTACTGCCCTTGATTGTGCACGATACACCCCACAGTTGTTCATCAATAACCCTTGGGTCTCCAGATGGGGTTTGGGAAGCCACGCTTCCATGCAGCAATAGGGAGGCATAAGGCTGTTTTTACACTCAGTAAGAATTTGAGTAATGTCCAAGACCTGGATTGCAGGTGAGATCAAGCTGTCCTGGGAAAGGGATTAGGATGATAGGGAACTGGGTATCTGGGGGCCCCAGAGTATGTGGGGGACACCCTCCACAGGCATGTGCGTGTACATATACATACTCGCACACAGACATACACACATATATGTAAATAGAAACTTTACCTATACCGAACATTGTGTCTCCTTTTCCATTCCCCATCACGTGGCTTACACACAGATCAGTCTGTTCTGTCCTTATTCCAGTGAAGTGGTTAACATCATGTGACCCTTCACAGCTCAGCCTGACAGCAAAGCAGCCAGCAGAAGACAACCATAATAACGGCTGTAGCATTTGCTCTCTCTCTATAGAAAAATTAACAACTGATGGGAAGCTGAAATGTCGGAGATATGCAGATATTTTTCAGCTTTCTGTTCTGCCAGAAACATCTAGAACACAGTGGGGTGTGCTGCCTCAGCCCCTTTACAGATCATTTCCTCTCCCTTCTGCCCTTTCCTTTCTCTGAGCTGAACTCTTGGTCAGGCTCCGAAAGACGTGAGCTAAGACCTCATGTCTGCCATCACTTAGTACCTTAGACAAGCTACCTCCCAGCTCTGAGCTTTGTTTCTTCCTTTGTGAAAAGCAAGTACGCCACACATGAGCATCTCTAACAGGTTCAAGCATGGCTGACACGGCACCCAGAGGTTTTACCTCTTCCCTTTCTCCTCCTTGCTGAATTCCTAGCTATATTCCTAAAGCTGGCCACGAAGGTCTATTTCCTTATTTGGCCACTTCCTCCTCCTGAGGCTGACCACCAACGTCCAGTTACCAAAGTATTGAAGCCCAGCTATCAAAAGCCCCCTTTTGACTCACCTCATTAACATGCCCAATAAAAATTAACCAATTCATCCTAACACGGGATTTCCCCATTTCCTTTTACAAACTGCCATTTGCCTATGGACCACATCTCCTCTCTCCAGAGGCTTTGTCCCTCTGGGGCAAATATTCCCTTCACCTACACCCTTGCTCCTTTTCCCCTTTTCTCTCATCTTCTGTCATTGTTTCTTATTCCCTGCCCTTTGTCCCTCTGAGGCAAATGAATCTCCTTTGCACTGAGAACTTGGTCTTGGTGTGTCCTGTGTTGAATCTGGTCCTTTCAACACATGCAAGGACATCACTACAATTGATGGTTCCAAAAATAAGATCCCAGGATCCTTTCACATCTGTCCTCGGAAATAATATTGCCTCCATAAAGCTGTGGGCAATGCTAGTTTTACTTGCCCAATCCCATCCTTCCATAAAGCTATGGACAATGCTAGTTCTGCCTCCTCAGTTCCATCCCACAGAATGAAACTCAAGGACCTAAGTAGATAGAAGCCTTGCATACAGCTTCATCTGCTTATACATGGCAAGACCAGATGCAGAACCCAGAGCTTGGGTTTTCCTCTTTTCATCTTGGCAGTACATATAACCATAATAAGTCCAATGTTTGTCTACCCAAAGCTGCTCTGTGCATCTAATTCAACATGCTTGATTATCACCTTACCTCTCTTTTCTCATCTCCATCTTATTGTCCTATAGGCGTTTATGTTTGAATCTTCCTTAAGTTTGGCGGTCACCAAGTGGGGACTCAAGACCTGTAGCTGTTTGGATGAGAACTACTACAAGTGCTGGGAGCCTCTCAAGAGCCACTTCACCCCCAATTCCAGGAACCCAACAGAACCTAAGTGAGACCGAAGCCTGCCATGATAATTGAGAATAGATTTGCATGGTTTCCTTGAGAGCCTTAAACTCTCTGGTGGTATGGGGACAGTAATTGAAATGAGAGCTTACTCTTCATAGTCAAGCAACTCAGAATATTTGTAGAAATGCATTCAGAAATGTCCAGGGCTTTCTATTGACTCAATAAATATGTGTTCTATGGAAGTTGCAGGTCATTTTCAGGTCTTGGTGTCCAGAACTGGTGGGCCAGATAAGCCCATGGCTGAGGGTGTAGGGGTGGAGGCACTTCTCATGTGCTTGGGCTGGTAGCTTTACTTTAAGAGCACAACTCCAGGAGGTATCTGTCAGAGACTATGGAGCAGGAAGGGTCCATTAGAACTATGAGCTGAAGCAGAATCCAGAGCCAACCCTTAGGCTCAATCCAGGCACGGGGAATTTGAAGAGGTCAGCAGAGTTCCAAACAGCCAGCCATTAGCCTAAACTATGTGGACATCCAGGACACCAGGCATATCATTCTGATAGTAGTACACAATGATAGAAGAAGAAGAGAATGAGGAGGAAAAGGAGGAGGAAAAGAAAGAGGAGGAGGAAGAAATCTACCTACTTCTGGGGAGCAAATGTTTGGGGATGCCAAGATATGGGTTGATCTGATCTTTGGGAAAAGGCCCTGTATCCTAGGGAATCCTTCAGCCTCCTTAAACTGGGACAGTTGTTCACACTTCTATTCATTGATTTATCAATCCATTTGGTAATCCTGTGTGGAAACCCTGCTATCAACTCTAGAGCAGGGTGCTCTGAAGGAGTGGTTGAAGTGGGAGAATCAGAGTCCTCCTAAGGAAGCCCCCAGTGTTGGATGACAGAGCCAATAAAAACTGATACCAAAGAGAGGACCACACTAACTGGGGCTGCCCAAGACTTTGGAATTAGGTTGACTATGTTCTCCTGGGGTAAAAAGATACACAAGCCAGAACAGAAATACAGAAAATGATAGCTGTCATGGCTTTCATTTTATAGGATTAGCTCACCCTCACAGGTTTGTTGCCATGGCAGCAACATAAATTTGCTGCTACCCAAGTTTTCTTCTAGTAATATGTGGTGAGAGTCATATGTTAGGACCTGAGGACTAGATTGCCAGATGAAATACAAGATGGCTAGTTAAATTTGAATTTTTTGATGAACCATGAATCACTTTTTAGTAGAAAGCTGTCCAAGAGTTGGACAGGATGTAGTGCCACTAAAATTATTCATGGTTCATCTTGTCTTCAGAATTAACTGGGAAACCAATATTT